TACACACTCGTTAGCAAACAGGGAATTTTCTGATAGAGACTGTTGGTCCTTGGTTCTGTCAGAATTCCTTCACATTGGTGGGTTTGAAAAGAATCGATAGAAGTAATGTTTTTTGGCTCGAAAAAGAAATCACATTTTATTTTCAAAATCAGAAAATCATGGCATTTTTTTTTCGTGAACAAATCTATGATATGTTTTTTCTATTGCTAAACTTTTTTATTCTCTTGTTGTTTGTTTACATCCACCATCTTAAAATGTATTTACGAAAAATAAAACAAGTAAAAACATGCAAATACCGTTGAGTTCGAGTGAGCAGCCCAAGATAGTTATTTTAGTACGATATTATCACATGAAAAGGAAAAATTGAGACAGAATGAGAAAAAAAGTTGAAGCATTGGAAAAGTTTGAATTTCGAAACTTCTTGTCATACCAGAAGATCCGATATCTCTGCTAAAGGATCACAGTATTGTTTATACTGAACTTAAATATTATTATTGTAGACATAAATATTAAAACTATCAATACGTTGCCGAGAATATTTTCAAAAAATTAATCTTCAACGGAGATCTTTTAATGTGTCAAAGATGTTAGTTGTGATGGATGACTGTATATTATAATTGAAAATTCACAACTGTCTTTAGTGGAGTCCCTTTTATCAATATATTGTATTTGTAGATTAATTGTTCCATAAATGTTTATTTTTCGAATGTTTATTTGAAATTCAAGAAAGAAAAGTGCTAACAAAAACGAAACTGTGAATGAATCAATATTGATTAGGTAACTTAAAACTTTTCAAGCATACATATACATGATTATTTTTAAGATTACATCACTATTTGCAATGATTACTGAATTCTTATGAAGAATTTAATCATTAAGGTTCCTAATAGCCATAGAGTTCTACTTCGCTGTAGGCAACATAGTCGCTAATACTTCTCTTGGCAGTGACCAGGAAGCGATAACTTGTAAAAATTTGAGGCGATGATATGGTTTGAAACGGTCCATACGTAGACCGATTTACAAAACTTTCTAAACCTGTTGGGCCAGCGTAGATAAGTGTCCAATTAGTACAATTCACCAAAAGGTAACAGTTAGTTCCTTCGACTGTAATGGCAGTTGGATCACGATCAGCTGAAGATCCGGTGGCGGCAGTTGCGAAACGAAATTTAACAAGAGTTGGTTGACATTGTGAAATAGTAAGGTAAAAACCTGTGTTAAGACCAGCGATTGAATTGTTGCCAGAACTTGAATTACCTCGACTCGTGTATTTAGTACTAGTTTTATTATCGAATAATAAGTCTGGAGACTGATTGGGAACATATGTTCCAACACCTGACGTATTAGCTGTAGCAATTGTACTGATGCCACCTGCGAATGTATTCCATAGAGCTTGAACAGATCCAGATTGTATGGCAAATAAAGATGTTGAATCTATGAAAGAAAATAAGAGTAAATAATAAATTTATCTAAATGACTAAACAAAATCTTTGATATTAAAATGAATACAGCTTCTCAATTTTTTTTAATGCTTCAATCAACACAATAGATCATCATCTTGTCATATTTTCTTTCAAAAAACAAAATAATTATTTTATTTTTGACAGCTATGTGACAAGAAAATATACTTTTCTGACTCATGCACCGATGATTGTTCACTTTCAATTATTTTTGTTCAATTACTTTTATAATTATATGAGAATCAAAGTGATTTATTTCAAAAATGAAGTCAAAATATATGAACCTACTTGATGTTCCATTTTGGCTTGTTGATGATTGATTTGAATAGCCAAACAGTTGCACTTCACTGTATGAAACATATGCACTTAAATCTCGTTTATCTGTAATAAGAAAACGATAAGTTTTGTAACTATTGCTGTTCGAAATTGACTGATACTGTCCATATGCTAAACTGCTTGTTGCTGTATCAAGACCTGTTGATCCATTGTAAATTAAAGTCCAATTTACACAAGTTGTTAGATTAGCACAGTTAGTTCCTTCAATTGTAAGCATAAGCGGTTCACGCTCTGAAAAATTGTATGCATTACCGAATCGAAATCCAATAAGTACTGGTTGACATTGAATAATAGACAAATAAAAACCAGTATTGAGACCAGCATATGCGTTGGTTCCAGAAGTTGAATTACCTCGACTAGTATATTTTGTATTGAGAGAACCATCGAATAGATTGTCCGGAGGTTGTCCTGTATAATAGGTTCCGGCACCAGTACTGTTTTCTGTTGCTAATGTACTGATTCCACCAGCGAATGTATTCCAAACACCATAAATAGTACCAGATTGGACGTCCAAGAAGGGTGGTAAACCTATCAATAATGATATAACTTATAACTCTGTAAAGAATTGCGATAAGTTCAAGTAAAAAAAAAACTATCAAAGAAATACAAAAAGTGTTTCACTATTCATTTGTTTTCCTTTTCAAACCGCATTGCTAATAATATTATACTTTTCGGTAAAAGAAGTAGCAATAATAGTAGGATGGATATTTCATCGATCTAGCTAACTGCTTTATAGGCAAATAAACAAAGAAGAAGAAACAATTTGAATATGACAACTAGTAGATACCGTAATATTTGTAATAGATGGCTCTTAATTTTCTTTGGTGATATCAAATGGAACGTACCACAAAAAATCATACACTAAAAATACGAAATATCACCTGTTCAAGAAATTCACGGCCTCCAGTTATTAGTGGGAATCAACAATAAATACTCCCAGCAACAATAACAACAGTTATATTTAACTTCGCTTAATAAATCAAATTGGACTCATCCAACTATCATAACACGTATATGCATCAATGTAGATAATTGTATTCTATAATGAATTTCAAATGACTCGTTCCTTTTCTCTTTTGTCTATTCGAAAAACTCCGAAACTTTCAATCAAGCCATCTTCACTAAAAAACAGTTAATAAGGTCATAGCAGTCAATAGCAGTTACAACTTGTAACTCATGTAATATGCAAAGAGACATTGACACTTATACGATGGCCCTAATTAGTGGTCTACAATTTTAAAAAACTACTTTTGTTTTGTTCTAGTTCAATCGCCAGTCGCTCGACAACTATATTCTATCGCACATGTATTTTGACTACGGATCGAGACGAAATCTATTGAAGTACCTCCGTACAAGCAAGTCTAGTACAATAGCAGTTTCATACTGACTTAAATTTTCATTACATGAAACTTCTACAAAAATCAATTTTGAAATGCCTTCTTTTTTTACTTGATGATCTTAGTAGATTTATTTATGTTAGGTGAAGTTCTTAACGAAAACATATTCATAGCGAGTTTTCACATTTTGAATTTTTTAAGAAACTTCTAAACTTTTATTTTTACTTCATCATACACATCAGTCATTTATCTAAAACCATATTTGTTAAATGAGCTCTTTATGTCACATATGCAATTGGAGAAAGCTTTTCTTTTAGTTAGACAGGTGCTAAACCGCTTCCCTTAAGTGAAAAGAAAATTTATTCTAATTTTTAAAAACTAGTAGCAATCAGCGACCGAAACAAGTCAAAAAACATCCAACTCGACTCGATTCGTGTCAAGTCACCGAGCCTCGATTCAAACAACAAATTTTTAAAATCATATATTAATCAATAACAAGAATAAGTGACAAAATTAAAAAACTTCATAAGAATGAGTCAAGAGAGAAAAACTTTAATCTAGATTAATCGCTTGATGTTCTCTCCATGGAGCACAAGAAAATCAAATTATTGATCGTGGAAGGATCAAGATTTGAGCGCCTCTGAGACAGAATCTAGCTAGCTGTACTGAATTGGTCTTCAATCGGTCGACATACTCGACAAAATAATGACTGAAATGTGTAACAGAAGATGCTTGATCGTCGAACAAATATAGAGTTGAAAACAATGAGAACAATTTTGTCGTACGTTGCGTGTATTGGTTACTTATATAAACTCGTGATAGATTCATCGCGCACTAATTAATTTCTCAATAGCCAATGAGACGTTGAAAACAATGAAAGCCAATGTATGTCATTCATATTAGTCTATTTAATATCTCAGTTCATAAAGATATGTTTATTCTATTGTATTGCAAGACTGATACATTCCAATGAGTTAAAATTGTATTATAAGAATTCACGAAACAATAATGACGTATAATGTCAAGAATCAAGTGGAAGAGTTACTGAAAATTTTCGAAAAAGTCGAGTTCCTCAAGACAAACTCGGATAGACTCGGCTCGGGACAGGAACTGCCTCGACTCTACTCGGCTTGAGACGAGCCAAGTCAAGTCGATTTGCCGGATATTTCACACGTTTTCGATCTCCGGTAGCAACTGTTAAGACAACAAACACAATGTTCAAGATTTATATTTTTATGAGCTGAATAGATAAATTTCTTCAAAGAATAATACTTCATGTTTAGTATTCACATATATGCAATAGTTTAATAAAAGTTTTCCATCCTTTAAAGGATACTGTGTTTATCATTTCATTAAGATTCATAGGAACCTACATATGTTGCTGAAATTTTGAAGTACTTTCTAACTTTCTTTTACGATGAGCTTCCGAAAGCTTCGCCAAACCTGAAACATTCCTCATAATATTCCGTCTACTGATGTCAATCAATTATGAAGCAATGTTGCAGATTCAGATATATCCATAAATATTCTTCAAAATCCAAGCACACGTCGATGAACAATCAAACTTCGCTTACTGGAACAGTGCCATACGTGAACAAACCCTAACATCTACAAATATCAATTCCATGGGGATCGTTCCCATCGTAAAAGCATCCTCCTCCACACGTCAACGGTCTATTCAAACGATCTTCGAGCCAATCGGAAATTCTCGAAAACTTGAATATCAGCTACACTGATTACTTTAATCACACAACCTACCACTTATAGTGGAAATCCACCAACCACACCTAAACTATCCACACCACTAATATCTATCGCTCCGAAAACTGAAACAACCCTTCTTCATTATCCTATAATTTGTAAGACTCACTTATTGTTGAAGTTGTGGTTGTCGTTGTTGTAGTTGTCGTTGTTGTTGTTGTGGTTGTTGTTGTTGTTGTGGTTGTCGTTGTTGTTGTTGTCGTTGTCGTTGTTGTCGTTGTTGTTGTGGTTGTGGTTGTCGTTGTCGTTGTTGTTGTCGTTGTTGTTGTTGTTGTCGTTGTTGTTGTGGTTGTGGTTGTCGTTGTCGTTGTTGTTGTCGTTGTTGTGGTTGTCGTTGTTGTTGTTGTTGTTGTTGTCGTTGTTGTTGTTGTTGTTGTTGTTGTTGTTGTTGTTGTTGTGGTTGTGGTTGTTGTTGTCGTTGTTGTGGTTGTTGTTGTCGTTGTCGTGGTACTTTCAGTAGTTACCGTTGTTGTTGTCGTGGTACTTTCAGTACTCACCATCATTGTGCTAGTGATACTTTCAGTAGTTGCCATCGGCGTTGTTCCGGCACCTTCAGTACTTGCCATTGCGGTTCTCATAGTACTTTCAGAAGTCCACATTGTCGTTGTTGTGGCACTTTCAGTGGTCGACATCCTCGTTGCCGTGGCAGTTTCAATAGCAAGCATTGTGGTTGCCGTGGTACGCTCAGAAATCCAAATTGTCGTCGGCGTGACATTTTCAGTGTTCAACATCGTGGTTGTCGTACTACTTTCAGTGGTCGCCATCGTCGTTGTCGTGACACTTTCAGTAGTTGCCGTTACGGTTGTCATGGTAATTTCAGTAGTCATCATTGTGTTTGTCATAGGACTTTTCATGGTGACCATCGTCGTTGTCGTAGTACTTTCAGTGGTCGCCATCGTCGTTGTCGTGGCAGTTTCGGTAGTCCTCATCGTCGTTGTCACAACAACTTCAGTAGTTCTCATCGTCTTTATCGTGAAACTTTCAGTAGTCACCATTGCGGTGGTTATCGCACTTTCAGTAGTCGCCATCGTCGTCGTCGTGCCACTTTTAGTAGTCATCATTATGGTGCTCATGATACTTTCCGTAGTGGCCATTGTCGTGGTCATAGTACTTTCAGTGGTCGCCGACATCGTTGTCATGGTACTTTGAATAGTCGCCATTGTGGTTGTTATGGCGTTTTCAGTGGTCACGCTCGTCTGAATCGCGATACTTTCAGTGGCCGCCATCGCTCCTGTCATGGTTCTTTCTGATGTGCCCATTGTCGCTGTCATGATACTTTCAGAAGCCCACATTGTCGTTGTTGTGCTACTTTCAGTAGTCGCCATTGTCGTTGTCGTAGTACTTTCAATAGTAACCATTGTGGTTGCCGTGGCACTTACAGAATTCCACATTGTCGTTGTCGTGATACTTTCAGCGGTCGCCATTGGAGTTGTCATGATACGTTCAGTAGTTACCATTGTGGTTGTCATGGTGCTTTCAGTAGTGTCCATCGCCATTGTCCGGGTACTTTCAGTGGTCGCCAGTGTCGTTGTTGTAGTACTTTCAGTAGTCGCCATTGTCGTTGTCATGCCCCTTTCAGTAGTCGCTTTTGTCGTTGTTGCAGCACTTGCAGCAGTCCTCATCGTCGCTGTCGTGTCAATTTCAGTAGTTGCTGTTATGGTTGCCATAATAATTTCAGTAGTCACCATTGTGTTTGTCATGGGACTTTCAGTGGTGACCATCGTCGTTGTCGTAGTGCTTTCAGTGGTCACCGTCGTCGTCGTGCCTGTTTCAGTAGTCAGCATTGTGGTGCTCATGGTACTTTCCGTAGTGGCCACTGTCCTCGTCATAGTACTGTCAGTAGTCGCCGACATCGTTGTCATGGTACTTTGAATAGTCGTCATTGTGCTTGTTATGGGGTTTTCAGTGGTCACGTTCATCTGAATCGTGATACTTTCAGTGGTCGCCATCGTCCCTGTCATGGTTCTTTTGGATGTGCCCATTGTCGCTGTCATGATACTTTCAGAAGCCCACATTGTCGTTGTTGTGCTACTTTCAGTGGTCGCCATTGTCGTTGTCGTAGTACTTTCAACAGTAACCATTGTGGTTGCCGTGGTACTTACAGAATTCCATATTATTGTTGTCGTGATATTTTCAGAGGTCGCCATTGAAGTTGTCATGGTACTTTCAGTAGTTGCCATTGTGGTTGTCGTGGTGGTTTCAGTAGTGACCATCGTCATTGTCGGGGTACTTTCAGTGGTCGCCAGTGTCGTTGTCGTAGTACTTTCAGTAGTCACCATTGCTGTTGTCGTGCCACTTTCAGTAGTCAGTATTGTGTTTGTCAGGCCACTTTCAGTAGTCCTCATCGTCGCTGTCGTGGAAGTTTCAGTACTCACCACTGTGCTTGTCATGGCATTTTCAGTGGTCACCATCGTCGTTGTGGTGACACTTTCAGTAGTTGCCTTGGTGGTTGTTATGGTATTTACTGAATTCCACATTGTCATTGTCGCGATACTTTCAGCCGTGGGCATTGGGGTTGTCATGTTACTTTCGGTAGTTGCGATGGTGGTTGTCGTGGTGCTTTCAGTAGTGACCAGCGTTGTTGTCATGGTACTTACGATAGTAACCATTGTGGCTACCGTGACACTTTCAGAAGTCCAAATTGCCGTTGTCGTGGTGCTTTGAGTGGTCGCGATTGTCGTTGTCGCGGCGCGTTCAAAAGTCGCCATCGTCGTTGTCGTAACACCTTCAGTAGTTGTCATTGTGGTTGTTATGGTGCTTTCAGTAGTCGGAATAGGTCTTGGCATGAAACTATTAGTAATCGGCATCGTCGTTGTCGTAGTACTGACAATGGTAACCATTGTGGTTGTTGTGGTACTTTCAGAAGTCCACATTGTCACTGTCGTGGTACTTTCAGTGGTCACCATCGGGGTTGTCATGGTGCTTTCAGATGTCCACATTGTCGTCGTTGTGGTACTCTTAGAGGTCACCATCGTATTCATTGTAGTGCTTCCGGTGATCGCCATGATGATGGTCATGATACTTTCAGTAGCCGTCTTTGTCGTTGTTGTGTCACTTGCAGTAGTTGCTATTGGAGTTTCTGTGGTAGTGGTATAAGCAGTAGTGAGAAACTTAGTTTCAACGGTACCTATTGCTGTATCAGTTTTTGAAGTCATTATTTGAGTGGGGGTTGTAATGGCGGCTGTCATTGAAATGTCAGTTTGTACAGTGGTAAAATTGTTGCCTATCCTTGAAGTGGTGGTTTCATTGGGCTTAGTAGTCATGAAAATACCTGAGACAATAGTTTGACTTGTAGTTCTAGTAGTAGCAGTGCTTAAGACTTTAGTTTCAGTGGTGATAGAAGTACTTTGAATGGATGAAATGTTGAATCCAGCAGTAGTAGCAGTAGTTAAAGTAGCATCTCCAGCAGAACTAAAATTAGAAACACTAGTAGAGCTGGTAATTTTAGATAGCTCAGTAGTAGTAGGAGTAGTGAACATGTTGATTTCACGAGTCATAAAAGTAGTGCCAGTTGTTGTAATAGCAGGTTCAATGGTGATATTACTATCACTCGCATATGATGCACTTCTGACAGTGGTGTGTATCGTCTTGTCAATGGCTAAAGTGCTAGGCTCACTAATGCTGGAAGTTATGTCAGTAATTGAAGTGGTCGTTTCGTTCGAAGTTATAGTTGAATTAGTGTTGGAAGTACTAGTTCTATTTGTGATGCTAATCATATCGGTAATTAAAACAGTAAATTCAGTTGTGCTAACAGTATGTTCGTTGCGCGAAGTGTTAACTTCAGCGATCCAAGTAGTAGCTACAATAGTTGACTTGACAGGTTCAACGACGGTAGTAGTAGTGTCATTAGTTGAAGCAGTAAATTCCTTTGTGGTAGTAACAATAGCAGCAGTTGGCGTGGTATTCTCACTAGTGATAACATTTGGATCAGTCATTAAAGTGATCGCCTTAGTGATAATAGTACTACTGACAGTAGTTGGAATCGTAGTTCCATAGATAGTAGTAGTGGCATTATCGGTCGAAATGCCAGCAGTGCTTCCTATAATGCTATCTGTAGTCGCAGCGGCAGTAGTTACAGTTCTCCTAGTGCTCGTATTTGTTTCAAACAGATTGGTCGCGGTCTCAGTGTTAATAATAGTAGTATCAGCAGCTGAACTGATACCTTCAATGGCTGAAGTGATAGTTTCGTAGGTGGTATTATTATCATTAGTTGAAGTCTTAGCTTCATGAGTCATGGCACCTGTAATAGTAATTGAATTGCTAGTTTCATGAGTTGTCATAACAGTTTCTGTAATTGTTGGAGTGATAGCATCGGCACGACTCGCAATTTCCATGATAAATGTATTTCCTTCCGTAGATGTAGTCGTAGTCTCAGTTCTGCTAGTAATGGTAATACTTGAAGTTATTTCAGCGACGGTTGTAGTAGCAGCCATTGATGTGCTAGTTTGAGTCATCGTAGTACTACTATCAGTCGTTGAAGCGGGAGTTTTACTGGTGACAGTAGTGTCATCAATAGTTGAAGTTTCATTTTCAATAGTCGTAGTAGTTGTAGCTGCCGTTGACGTGGTTGTTGTGACTGTGATTGTTATATCATCAATAGATGATATGCTAGTTTCAGTGGCTGTAGTACTAGTTTTCATGACATTTGTAGTTGTATCAATACTCGTAGACGCAATCCTCATCGTCGGTGCTGTTGTTTCCTTGGAAGTGGTCGTATTCTCAATGAAAATACTAGTTGTATCTTCAGATGAAGTGGCATTCTCACTCGTAGCACTGCTGGTATTAGAAGTCGAAGTCGTATTTCCTACGGTGATCACAGGCATATCAATAGTTGAAGCGACAGTTTCATTGCGATTGGCAGTAGTAACATCAGCTGAAGCTGTGGTTTCCGTTCTGCTCGATGTCGTGTGATTAAATGATGTCGTAATTTCAGTGGTTGTTGCAGCAGTAGTAGCAATATGTAAAATGCTGCTTTCCATAATATTAGTAGTAGTGTTCATAGTTGAAGATGTAGTTTCAGTGTTGGTACTTCCAGCGAAAATAACTGAAGTGCCTTTTTTAACTGGCATAGTAGTTATACCAGTTGTTACAGTGCCTGTTTCGAATGTGATTATTGTTGCAGCAATAGCTAACGTATTGGATTCAGCGTTAGTTGTAGTTGTATCAGTGTCGTTGGACGTAATTCCAATAGTTGTTACTGCTGCTTCTTTGGAAGCGGTGGTGTTCTCAAAGATAATACTGGTAGTACCAATAGATGAATCGACACTCTCAGTGTCTGTTGTCAGGTTTATGCTTTGATCGGTACTGATAGCTGTATCAGCAGTTGAAGCACTAGTTTTAGTTATGATACCATCGACTTCTGCAATGGTTGCAAAAGAATAAAAGATGGTACTTGCAGTATCATTGGTAGTTAGGCTTCTGTCTTGGGAAAGGTTAACAGTTTTGGTGGTCGTAGTAATGGACTCAGTAGTGCTAGTACCACTATAAGTGATTGAAGTACTAATCTCAGCCGAGATACTAGTAATATCAGTAGTGGGAGTGGCTGGTTCAGTGTTAGAAACACTAGCAGTTGTACTTGAAATCGTATTTTTAGTTATGACAGTAGTCAAAACGGCAGTTGAAGTGATGGTACTAATGTTAGCAGTAATACCGTCAGTCATTGTTGTTTTTGCTTCAGTGGTTTTAGTACTCGAACCGATGATCGACGTGCTAGTTTTCATGTTGATAGGACTACTGCCAATAATTGAGTTAACACTTTCAGTTGTCGTAGTAGTCATGCCAATAGGTGAACTACTAGTCTGAATGACACTAAATTTTGTATCAGTGCGAGAAGTAGTAAAGTCAGTGGTCATAACTGTACTGCGACTCGTTGAAGCGGTAGTAGCAGTACTTGAAGTACTAGAGTCGATAATTGCAATCTTTGTATCCACAACTGAAATTCTAGAACCTGTGTTGGTAGCACTAGTAGCAAGAAATGAAGTGATAGTTTCATAATTGTTTGTATTTGCAGTCATAAATGGTGTGATTGTATTAGCGCCGTCGGTAGTAGTGTTTGTGGTTGTATTAACAGTGATGTTAATAGCCGACTCAGAACTTAAACTGGTAGCTTCAGGATTGATAGCAACACCAGGAGTAGTCGATGTGATGTTTCCACTAATGCCAGTTGTCATATCACTGGCAGAACTGATTGATTCCATGCTATAAGTGTCAGTAGAAGCACTTGAATGTATGATATCACTAATGACAGTGGTATTATGTGCAGCGGAATTAATAATTTCAGTGGCGGGGTTAGTTTTGACACTGACAGCAGCTGTAGTTTCAACGGTGATATTGTTTCGATAAGCGCTAACTATCGTAGTTTCACCGCTGATAGTTCCAGTTTTTAGCGTTGCCGCATCAGTGGTTGTATTAGTAGGTGCAGTGAAGGTCAAAGTAGTAGTGGCAATTGAAATGTTAGATTTGCTTGTGTTGATAGTACTACTGCTTGTTACAGTCGTAGACTCAATCGAGGAAGCAGAACTAACATCAGCCGTTACCGTCGCCTCACTACTTGTAGTAGTCATGTCAGAAATCAAAATAGTGCTAGCAGAAAATGGAATGCCAATTTCATTAATAATAGTACCACTACCAGTAGTTTCAGTGGCATAACTGCTTTCAAAAACTACGCTGCTAACTTCGTTGGAAGTCACAATTGTACTATTTCGCCAAGTGGAACTTTCAGTTGTAGTGAAAACAGCATCACTCATGAAATTCGTCTTTTCAACCATGCCAGTAGTAGCAGCACGAGCTGATGCATTATTTTTAATGTAAGTAATACCAATCTCAGTTGTTGACATAATGGCTTCAGTGTTGATAGAAGTAGTGTCAGAGCTTGAAGATGTACCCTCAGTTGTTGTAGAAGACGACATCGTAGTGGGAGTATTAATGTCTGCGATGCTGGTAACGACAGCCGCTGCATTATTGGTTTGAGTGACGATGCGAGGTTGACTAGTGATTGAATTAATTGTTTCAGTAAAAGTAGGATTACTATCGCTAGCTGATGGGCTACTTTCTATCTTTACAATGGGAGCACTAGTCGTTGAAGTTACATTTTCAGCTTTTGCAGAAACCATCCACGTTGTAGACGCACTCATCTCATTGGTACTTATGCCAAAACTAGTTGAATTGGCAGTTCCAGTGCTGCTAAGAGCCGTTTTAACTTTTAATGGGGTCAAGTCCGTGTTCATATTAGTACTAAAAATAGTTGAAGCGCTTGAAATAGTAGTAGTACCGATCATAATTGTATTTGACATAACATGTTCATTTATGGTACTAGCACTAACTGTAGCTTGATTCGATGCAGCTTTGCTGGTAGTAGTAGTAGTGTCCGTGATTGTCGCTCCATTTTCAGCATTTATAGAAGTCGACCTAGAAGTAGATGTTATCATCTGATTGGTGCTAGTTAGAACAGTAGTTGGATTCATAGCTTCAGTGCCGACCAAAGTCGATTCAGTTCTTAACGATCCGAAGTCCATGTTGGTACCTGTACTGAAATAAGTTGAAGTGCTTAAAACATCAGTGCTATCAATAGTAACTCCACTTGAAATTGTACTTTCATTTATAGTATTAAGACTGCTTATACTTTGAGTTGCTAGCTCTCTGTTGGTAGCAGTAGTGTCAGTGGCAGCAGTTGCGTTTTCTGTGTTTGTAGATAACGTCAACTTGGTAGAGCTAATAATCTCATCAATGTTTATACGAACAGTACTTAAATCGATAGCTTTAGTGCCGACAACAGCAGTTTGAACGGTTGATGAAGTAGAGTCCACGTTGAAATTGGTACTAAAAATAGTTGAAGTGCTCAAAACAGTACTTCTTCCGATACTAGCTCCAGTTGGCATTGCGCTTTCATTTATAGTACTAGCAGTGACTGTAGTTTGAATGGAAGTGTCTTTGTTAGGAGCAGCAATGCCTGTAGTAGTGGGTTCATTTTCAGTTTCTGTAGACATAATCATCTGATTTGTATTAGTAAGAACACTAGTTGGATTTATAGTTGCCGTGGTGACAAAAGTCGTTTCAGTTTTTGATGAAGTAGAATCCATGTAGATATCTGTGCTTAAAACAGTTGAAGTGCTTGAAACAGTGGTGCTTTCGATTGTAGTAGTCGCACTTGAAAATATACTTTTATTCATGGTATTAACACTGACGGTAGTATGAGTGGAATTTAATTCGTTCGTAGCAGTAGTACCTGTGTTCGAAGTTGTCTTTTCAGTGATTGCAGAAGTCATCCACGTTGGAGAGCTACTAATCTCATCGGTGCTTATACGAAAAATGGTTGAATCAATAGCTTCAGTGTCAGAAACAGTTGTATCGGTTCCTGATGTTGTGAATTCTGTATTTAGGTCCGTATTGACAATAATTGAATTGATTGAATCAGCGGTAGTTTCAGTGCCAGTGGCACTCGAATTTATACTTCCATTTAGGGTGCTGGTACTGCCTGTAGTTCGAGTCGTGGTTTGTGTATTAGTAGCAGTAGTGTGAGTGGTTGACGCTGTGTTTTCAGCGTTTGTAGAAATCGTCCACGCAGCAGATCTCATCATCGCATCGGTTGTTGCAAGAATGGTAGTTGAATTTATTGTCGGAGTGCTGACAACAGTCGTATAGGTTGCTAATGTGGTAGATTCCATGTTGATATCTTCACTAACAGTAATGGAAGTGACTGAATCATTCCTGATATCGGTTGTAACAGCACCGGTATTTTTACTTTCAGTTATGATACTAATATTGCCTGTAGTTGAAATTGTATTTTCAGTTGCATCAGTTGCGGTGTCCGTTGTTTTAGTGGTAGCGCGAGCGTAGGAAGTCATTTTTTCCGTAATAATGTTCATTTGTTGCGTGTTGGCATTGGTGGTTCTGAGGGCAGCACTTGCGATATCGCCTGTGAGTGTCGTAAGTATGGTCTTGTATGTAGTTTTTGCGTTGATGATTGTATATGGCACTGTTGTTTTTGTGGTATGGGTATTGTCAGTCGTCGTTTTCGTTGTTGGGATTGTCATTGTAATGTCTCTAATGGCAGTTGTAGACTCTGTGTTTGACGTGATGGCGATGGCTGCATTATTTGTGGTTGTACTTGAATTATCTGATGCACCCGTCGTCGTAGTAAATCGAGTCGTATCTGATGGAGCCGTCGTCGTCGAAGTCCCCATAGTGTTCATATTTTTCGTCATATTCAACTGTCTTGTATTAGATATCGGAGACGCTGATGATGTTGTAGTAGTACTGTCTGTTGCCGTAACGTTTGTTCTACTGACAGTGGTATCTGTTATGATAGAGACATCTGTAGCATTTGTATCCATCGTTGTGGTTGCGGCTGAAAGAAGTAAGAATGTTTACAAATTTTGTTGAATGAACAATATTTACTGGTTATTGTCGTATATTTGCTGTTGACGAGCATTATGGGCACAAGAAATACTGTAGTAAACACAACCATACCTGATACTGCGCCGATTCCGGTTAAGACTGTGGCATGCAGACCCCTAAAAAAATAAAGAATTAGTAGTTTAAGGTTTTGGAATTATCGGTTAGTAGAGAAAATAGTACGTACCAAGTACCATGTGTCACTGCAACCCAGCCAGAAGTAGCAGCTTGCCCGACATTCGATTGACTTATAGGTTGAAGAGTTATTTGTTGTCTCGCTGGCATGTGGGATAACGTTATATTCTAGAATAAAGCGTACTTTAGAATCTAATAGATTCAAATAACTTGCGTTGCTCCAATGAAGATGTATGTAAACGAGTTGAAAAATTTGAGTAACATGAAAATGGATCCAATATTACTAATTTGTTTAGTCCTACATATTCCTACTCGATTGCAGAAGACTTGACTAACCACAAAGAAAGTTTCTTTGTGTAAAAGGATAGAGAAAAAAGAATTTGAAAATATAAAGCTTTGAAAAATAATAGTTGTTAGGTTTTTAAATAATGTAAGTCAATTCTTCTGTGATCTTCGCCTCGTCTGAATCACAGACGACACGAATCAGACAATCTTTAATGTGTACATCACAGTTTGTTCTTCTAGACATCAATCTAATAATAGCGATATATTCTATTTATATTCGAAAAGAATATCAATTCAAATATGAAAGATTTCTTACTGAATCACTGTAAAACAAACTGATCTATTGAAAGCTTAAGCGTTGAAAAGTTGATGCAATTTTATCTGAAATTAAAAAAAATTATTTATGAAAATTTGTTGTGAATAATCAACTACTTTTCTACTTGTCTTATGGGTATAATAGAAAAATATACTACTCTTGTTTGCAGTTCATATGAAGAAAACACTAATTGTATATTAGTGTCGTGCAAAAAAACTGCTAACCGTTTATCATCATTTTCCTTATAAAGTCAACTTATTTCTTAAGGACAAAAAAATATGTTTCTGTTTTTGAAGAACAGCACACCAAATATATCGTCAAGAATTTAATTAAATAGCAAAATCATTAATTTGTTAACTTTCCCTGCACGTTAACAATGGAACATTAAAATCAGCGAATTACGTTTTTTATTACAAAAATAAATAAAAACAAAATCAAATTTTTTTATTTTTAAGTTTTTAACTAAATCTAAGTCTCGAGATCCCATGCAGAAGAGTTCGCATTGCAATCATTCTCTTAATGCGAAATCCCTCTAATGATAATGATTATTTCTCATTTCAAAGGTGCTTAGAGCATGTTTCGTGCACCTCTAACACCACTAAACATGGCCATTTTTCAATTACTTTAGTCGGAGAGAAAATGTGGAAGTACGCTCAATGTTTTGATCTTGTTCTCCGAAAAGAAGGGGATTAAAAACAGTCACAAAAACGTAGGCATCTCAAACAGTATTTAGTTTGCAACTCGGATATCTACGTGAAGAAGCTATCTGAAGAGTTGAAGTCTATAAAAACATGTTGTTTTAATCATCGATATGTATCTATCGTGAAAGCTTCAAATATTGCTGATGAGCCATTCTTCCAAATCTTCGAAAAAAACGGGGTGGCATTAGAGGTGATTGTCTCTTCCTTCCGAAATATTTTTCGATTTTTCTTAGCGAAAAAACATTCAAAAATGAGTTATTTATAGCCTGTGATGGACATGAGGGAATTCTGAGTTGCGAAACAACTTTTTAATACGTCATTCTCAAATTCAATAAAAAATAAACTGTTTAAAACTTTAGCAAGTTAATATACCGATTTAATACTGAAAAGTTATAAAGATAAGATATATAACGTTTTCAATGATTGCGAAATTTTTCTGTATGAATGGTTAAATATTTTTTTATGAAACAAATTAGATCGATAAACTGTGCTGACAACCTAACTGACGTCTAGCCTATACAAAAATGTTTTAGATGCACTAAAAGATCAATAACAGGGACAAAAATACAGTAATATTGAACAACTAAACATGATGTTAAAAAGTAATAGAACAAATCTAGTGTTTCTTTATGTCAATAGATGATAGAGAAATCTAAATTTCTTCTTTTATTTCGAAAAATTGTATCGTTGTTACAATTTTTCATACATTGAAAAAGTTATAGATTTTCATAACTCATCACTTCATCTCTTTTGTTTCTTTTCTTTTCTCCTATTAAAAAAAAATAATGATGATCAATTATCCAATGAAATGCGTTTTCTTCATAGAAAATCGCTTTAAAAAAAGATTATTTCTCCACAGAAACATACTATTCTACTTAGAGTACAAATTTTTCTCTAATGTGTTACTTATCAATTTGATCAGGGTCTATTCTTCTGTCAGAAACCTATTTTTGCTTCCGAACATTCGAGATGGTTGAAAATTTTGGTCCGAAATACTGAGTTGGTCATGAGTTATCATAACATCAAAAAATAGTTCTCCGTGTGATAAGAATTTCTTTCTCAAAACTAATTTTCAATGTTACTTAAAACACCCATGTATCAATAATGCATAGTACATAATATTACCTGGCATGTTTCATATACATAGAAACAATTCCATTTAAATGCAAATCTTCTCATGTTTTTAAATAAATCAGATAAGAAAAGCTTTTTCTGATGAAACTATTTCTTCAATGACTTACTTTTTAAACAATTTTTAACAGCACAGCAATATTAAGATTATTCAGTTAAATATGAAAGCTTAACAAATGCATGTATCTGCAAGAAATTTTCTCAGACTTACATTTAATTACAGAATATTCTTTAAAATGTAAAAAAAATAGTACATGTATTTAAACACAATATTTTTAGTTTCTAAGCAAAGAATACGAAGCTGTACACAACTCTGATCGGTGTAAATAATTGCATGTAATACTCTTGCGTGCTTAGGCAAGATATATGACTCGTTTATAAATACCAAAATATTATTGGTATCCACCTGCGCAACGACTAGAATTTTTCTCAATTCTACATATTATTGCAAAAAGGTCATATTTACAGAAACTGAACAAAACAATTCTGTATGAATAGGCGAATCGTTGCCATTTTCTAGTGAGCAGACTGATCAAAGCAAAAATATTGTTTTCTTTTTCTTCGGCATATAGTTATGTATTGCTCATTATAATAAAACAGATTTCATATATGCACACTATATTAAGAGAAAATCTCTGTTTTATTGTTCATATTTACCAATAGTTATTAGTTTTTTATGCCCTCGCATACAGATACAAATATAGTTTACTCTGTTACGCATTTATGCATATGTACTATGCCATAATGATTCATGTACAGTGAATACCAAAAACACAGATAGAGACTGGAAAAAATCAAAAGGCTAGTTTTTTAGCATCTAGAACGAGTAAATATAATAATTTTCTTTAGATTAAATAAAACACTAGAGCAAACAATGCTCTATAAAATGATGCATCTTCAAGTTCTCTACAACATATTTTAGCTTAGTCACTTTGTGAATCTGATAATAATTTTTATTTTCTGATATTCTTGTTCAAAACCATTTTCTCTATTCGAATGACTATTTAAATTCTTTCTAATGCTTGGAACAGCCGAAAAAGTTCAAAATAAAAAGATCACTGCTTTTCATTGTTGAAGTCAATCTATAAAACTACAATCGAAAGTGTTTCTAAACTAACTAATTTTCTCTATGCAAATGACCTACACTCACAACCTTCAAACCAGTAATCTAACACTCACCATTGTTATAGAATCACTGGCATTGTTCAATAAGGAAGAAAAAAAAACAATCCCGTAGAAAATACGTTTACAAACATTCTTAAGAAAATTAATGATTGTAGCATGAAAACGTCTAATCGTTCTTACGGGTATACACCAGTCACCGTTGCGTTCAAAAACAATCATACGTTTACTTCAATTACCATAATCGAAGTTTCAATTCTCATTTGTTTAATAGCAACTAACTGCCATAATACTTGTTTACGACCTCTTTGAGCAATTTTTTTTTCTAAATAAGTATCAAAAAAATGTCGACAAGCTTTTATGAAACCTATTGTAAATGCTAAATGTCAATTTTTCTGAATAACTAACAAATCGAAAATTTAAGGAATAGAACACATAGTATGCACATTCTGTCCCTCTCTTTGAAGTGATTTTATTCTTCTTTTGTATTGAACAAAACAAATGATACTATAGAATTTAGATTCATAGAAGTTATTTTAATTTATCGACGCAGACAAAAATTGATTTTGTTCAATTGTATGCAAGTAAGTTGAAAAAATGTTAATTTATTCTCGAGATACATACGTTTTGATCATTTTCTCAACTTTTCTTTGATAGCTATATCTCATCATGAATAATAATCGTTCGACTTAAAACTTTCAGCATGAATACATCTGAGACGTGGTTATCTTGTATAAAAAAACGAACTTAAATAAATAAA